CATCGGATAAGGGCAACTATCACCTTTCCGAAAGTGGTATTGGTTTGCGTGGGCGTACTTTGGTTCGCCTGAAAAGGGCCTTAGAAAATTTGTTTACAAATGCTTTTGTGCCGTTATCAAATGTTATGCCTGAACTAAACTATGCCCAACTCTGAACGAAGCATTACATTTTTACAACAGTTGATAAATGTTATCACTTTATCAATAAATGCTACTGTCATTTGGAATAAAGCAATTCCCTATGCTGCAACTAACTTTCTGAATACATCATAGCAAAGTCTTGTCATTATCGGCTGTATTATCGTAATTATTAATTGAATCAGCTCGGTGAGATCTGAGATCTACATCTTACAACAAATCACACCGTCAAAAGGGACTCTATATAAGCTTTTTGAGGTATTGGCAATTATACCATATGACGTTTTGAATGTGATTCTTAGATACGGAAATCAATAATACCTGCTGTGTAGATTATATAGTCAATATCAAGGTGGGAGGATATTTTGCTTATTGCTTATATTGCTTCCCAAACAATATTTATATGTTTACTCCAAACAAAGAAAACACAAGTAACCTAGCTAATTTCATCGACCTGCAGAGAACACTATGTTTCCCAGTGCATATTTGGACCCATTGTCATTCAGGGCCAAATGGAGGATGTAGGGAAATTTCTTGTTGGCCATTTTCATTATCAACAACTTGAATTATTTTTGCTAAACATACGACACCACTATTCGCATGCTTTAGTCAGCCGTCCGCAAAAATCATGTGAGCCGAAAGCTCCTCGCGAGAAATTCGTGTTTAGTACATTTTTTTTCTTTCCCATGCCTTGTTCGCCATGTACCGGTACAACGGGAAAATGGTATGCATGAAATGAAAATGGAAAAACGATGCGAGGAAAGTCGGAAAATTGTACTTTGAAGTACACCAAAAGATTCCTGACATTCTCACGAATCTTCTGGTATATAATTATCTGGTACTTTATAATAAAGATCACGAGCTATCAGAGGGGAAAGATAGAACATGGTGTTTACACATTTGCAATCACGTGGCCGGAATTGGGTGGTCTTCATGTCGGAAAAACAACCCAGTTTTTTTGTGGGTTGGATTTTCCCAAAAATTTTCCAACTATCATGTTGCCAGAAAGTTATGCTAGAACGTAGTGTGCTTCGATTTTTCGATTAGCTTATTTTTCTAGCTCATTTTTGCGGGTTTTCCCAGATGTTCTAAAAAATCCCAGCAAGGGAATAATATCAATAATACTTCCAGACGGGGGCCTTAAAAACAGAAATATGTGCCAATATTTTAGTTAAAATGTTCAATAAAAAATGTGGATGAACAATTAATAAAGTAAATTTAAAAAATTTCTCCATAAATCAAGAGTAATTTTTTAAACTATGCATTTATTTTTTAGGCTCAAATGTCGTTAAACTTTACGGAGCCGAGGTTTATCAAAATACAATAGATCGTAGTTAAATTACATTATTTTTCATTTTCTTACTTTCAATTTGCTCTAAATAGATGGCATCAATCCTCTTCTTGCTATCCTCGATCAATGCACACCGTTCTTCAGGATCATCAATGTGCGAAATATTTGGGATCGTATATGGGCACTGCGTATAGGGACAAATATCACCACTCACAGAGATCAGGCTGCTATCTTTTTCGCTTGAGTCGACTGATTGCTGGTGTTTTATTTCGGTTTTGTGTTTTGCTGTTGGTCTGCAATCGGTATCGATTTCGGGAGAGAGGGCCACTGCTTACTTTTGGCTGCGTTTGATAGGAGTTTGTTGGCGTTGTTGTCGTTCTTGTTCTTGTTGATGTTGCTAGTGTCGCTGTTAACGTAGTTGTTGTTGGTGCTGCTACTGAGAGTAGAATCTTCGTTTGCTGCTGCAGCCACCTCGGAGCAACGTTGCTTTGGGTGCTCACAATTGCGACATATTTTCACTTGGTTCTGGTACGATACCAGTGTAATTTTGCCATCCACGGTAATGAATGACGGGATGGGAAGGATTTGTTTCATTTTTAAAACACGCACTCCACTGCTGGAACCTGAAAATAACTCTTCCAAACCTCGTTGCTTTGCATACCCAGGAATACAACGTTTTTCACATTGTGTGGCTGAATACATTTCACCTGTGACATATCAAGTTGCAGTTCACTTTCTAGAAATCGTTTGATTTCCGAAATACACGGTTGCTTAGGCAAAATGGATGTATCCAAAACTACACAGTTTTCTCACAAAGCCCGCATGGCTATGGGCAACAAAACTCACGCGCGTCACACAAAAGAAATCCGAGAATGGTATTATACGTCCGATCGGTTAAGGAGATGGACAGCAACTGAGTAATTATCAATAAGAAATATAAAATGAAATGTTTCCTTATATATACTGAAATAGTGCATAAAAAATTGGGAATGCACCAATAGTCCTCTCCAGATGTGTTCGCATTTGTGAAATTTGTTTGTTTAGTGAGATTTTTTTTTGTTAGCTGAGAGATTTTTTGTTGTTTGCTGTTAGAACTCATGCCGAAATAACATGGAAGGGAAGTTGGCAAATTTAGGGCGAAGGAAATTTGATGAATAACCGTCCATACAAACTGTAGTAAATTTGTATGGATGATTGTTTATGTCCCCCTGCGGGTGGAGTTTAAAAGCACTCAAAAATTGGTCTTGTGGAATGTTGATAGTGCCTAACATCGAGTAAATGAATCTTTCCTCTTATCGCATATATGAAACTGGCTGATAGACTGACAGTTGCTTTGGCTCTGTCAATAAACTACGCAGATCGCTTTAAAATGAATTTAAAACAACCATTCCCCGTGAAGACATTATTTTATACATATTTTAAATACCGTTTTTCCTCCAGAATAATTTCCATTGATACCAAATTTTTGGAATCTTAGAACCATAAAATAGACAACGGATTTGCCTGTATCCAAACGTTTTTTGGAACATCTGAAACCGTCCTCACAGTGTCGATTTTGATTAATGATTTTTTTTTTTGAATGTAACACATTGACTTAACTCACTCGGTTCAGCCATAGCTATAAAACAAGACCATGCTGAAGGTGGCTGGGCTCGATGCCAAGTCCTATTTATGAATTTTTCGGGTTGGAAAAATTGCGAAAAGTGCTCAAATAATACTAAGTGTAGTCCCAGAGGGGACGTAACACAGCCGAAATCCAGTGGAGATAAATATTTCGCCGACTAGATATCATTTGATATGATAATGATTATTCATGAATTTCCAGAATGTTAACACATTACCTGGATCATCAAAAACCTATTGTAAGATGTCTATTCATGTTTTCATTGCCACCATAAACAAAACTATCCGAACTAGTTTTACGATGGTCATTTGGTTATATGGATACTGTTTCGAGTGTGATTGTTCATATTTCATGAAGATGTGATTTGATATTTCACTTGTCATAACCATGACATTTCGATGGAACAGTTATATGGAGGCCATATGGCTCTTTTATTTATTTATTTATTTATTTATTTATTTATCGTCAATCAGTGTAGACCGTTTTACAATTGTTGTCTTAAGTGCTATTTTTACAATTTTGTCTTTGTTTATATTTTTTATAATATGTCTTAAGAACAAGTTAAAACAGCTCTATGGATGTCGTTTTGCGTGATATTGCTCATATTTCGTCGAGTAGATGTGGTTTGATATGTCGCTTGATATGGTTATGAGAGAAGTCAAATTTCACCATCTGGAACAATAATCCGGAACATCCGGAACCGATTCCAAGGTAGGCATGGTGTCTTATCATTTTTATCTTTAATTTTAGAGAGCTCCAAGAAAAAAAAATCAGTATGTTGTCGCTCTGATAAGTATGAAATATGATAAAGATTGAAAAACACCCCCATGCCATCACATTCTTGAATATATAACAAAGAAGGTGGCACCTGGGGGGAGGGGGAGGTGGATGTGAGTACCACCAAACAGAGTAAGAACTACTCACCAGAATGATATTAAAAAAAAATCAATTTACTCGGCCTTGGCATCTCTGAAATACAAATTTTTGAAAATAAAAAGTTTGTTTTGGGCTTTAACGGGTTAAGCTTATATGGTTACATGTATTAATTTTACATTAAGTATGAGCATTACAAAACTCTAGCAAGGATGTTTAACGAAATACATTTTGTGTTTTTCGAAGTACATTTTCTCTGAGTTCAAGGATAGTAAAAATACAAAGTTTTACTAAAATTAAATTAAAACAAATTGAGATGTGTTGAAAGAAATTTCACCAACGAAATTGATATAGTGTTTGGATCTAATGATTAGCCTACTAAATTCGGCCTACGGTTTTCAATTTCGTACGAACACATAGAAACGTCATTGGATTTACATCGTCGTACGGATGAAGGCAAAAATGGAGTGGAAACTGCACTGAAACAATTAAACATAATAATTTCATAAGGCTCGAATTATGAGCGACACATATGAATTTCATAAGCGTGACTTATGAATGACTTAGGTCTAACATGAGGTAGCTCTTATACGCCTTTAACCATTTAATTTCCCCAAGCGCTGAAAGACGAGTTGTCAACACAGGACCCCGTAATCTCATCGTCCATGATTCGATTCCAGTCTTTTCCATTTTATTGTTTTCTTGTCAACATTATTTTTCATAAGTCAAATCAATGAAATTGATACCGATTTCTTGTGGCTAAAATTCTTATGGAATTCTTACGTTCTTTTGCCTCAGTTTCTGTTTAAACACAAAGGGTGTAAATATTCATACTTTGCGCTCTCAAAGCCATTGCGATTTAAAACTATGGTAACGTACCAAACGTATGATTGAATCGTCATCGCCGAAATCATAAATATTTTTGATGTTTTCTGTTCTATAGGACGACAATGGGTTCATCTAACTATCTTTACCGTGCCGCATACCCTTGATGCTGGTGATTTTCAGTCAACTACGGCGTCATCAATTGTATCCATTTCCTACAAATCAAAACAGCCAGCGGTATCATCTTACCTCTAATAAGCTCTCGGCTTTGTGGCTTCCGAAGGAGCATATATTCGCCGTCTTCTCGTTTCCAGGTGACACGGGGCGTGGGATGGCCCACCGCTTTACACACAATGGTCGCATCCTCACCCTCCTGCACGGCAATGTCTGCCGACGACTCTTCGTTGATTATGTCCGGAGGGACTGAAAATGAAAGAAAAACAGATTCTAATGGTAAAACAAGAAACAGGACAATTCATCTCTTAAAATACGATGTCTAAGGCTTCCTGCAAGGTCCCATGACATCAGAGCAACTCTCTCTGGACACGGGCAAACGGCGCTCCGTAATTACTTCTACACCTAACGAAAATAATTACACCAGAGCGAATGCAACGTCTGCGAGTTAAATATTGTATCTTAATCTTTGTCGGTGTTTTATCGGATGCATTTTTATAGAGTTTCACCGGGAAGAAAAAGCTCGCTTTGTACCGAACCACGTTGCCGTGGAAAATAAGCAGCTAGCAGTTTTTCCAGCTTCCTCCTCGTTTCGCAAGAACTTTCATTTGGCGTTTTTTTTTTGTCCTCTCCTCGGCCATTATAACCATTGTAATTTTCTGTCTTGCTGCTTTTGTGTGTAAATTGAATTTTTGTTCTCAGCTGGAAGGCACTGACAGAGTATTTGCGCAAGTTTGCGCTAGAAGGGGTATTTATTTGGTTGCGTTATTTGAGCAACAAAGGTAACAAAGGAAGGCGTCAAACGGGTGAGGCGTTAATCAGTTAGCCTGGAGGGGCCATTTATTTTTTTCTTTCTAAGAAATGGGTTCTTTGGTAACGTTTTAACTTTGGAAAGAAATGCCAGGAATTTTGCACGGGCAGCTTGGCTGAATTTTTAAAATTACAATATTGTTCGTCAATGATAGTAATTTCAGTGTATAATATTCTAGAATAGTTTTATAGTAAAATAAATGAGCAATGTCATATTTTTCCCCATATGGAAAGTATGTTTAAGCAACTTTTGACGCTCTTTTATAAGCAAGCAAACTTTCGACAATCTTACTCGAGCTGGTATCTGTTCTTAAAATATTCTTCTATTGTTGATTTTCGTAAAGGCCCACGCACATTAGATCCCGATCGGAAGCGTTGCGACAAAGTTACAGCTAAATTTAGTGTCTAACTGTTAAACGCAACGCAAACGGATCTAATGGTTATGATTTTTGGAGGCAGTAGACGGTTGCTCTAAGGACTCATGTCACCGTGATGAAGCTGCCAGCTTTGATGTAACGGGGTCTGTTTTCGGATATTGTGATTTATCGAAGAAACTTCACAGAGCCAAACAGAGCTTCCACTATTTGTCAGAGATTGTTTTTTTTATATTTGAATCTAATTTTTTATATATATTGACTATCCGTTATCTACAACCAATTACCCGTCCGGTAGCTAGCAGCTAAGATCTACTGAGCAGAGCAAACCGAGATATAATTCTTACTATTCAGATTTTTTGAGGCCCTGCCAGGATCCTCCGATCATCTCCAGAATCAGTGGACTTTTTGGATAAATTACTTATTACGGGTATGTTATTCGTTTAATTTGGTGGGTCCATCAAATTTGGTGCTGGCATGGCAGACAATACGATTTGAGAATATTTCATAACACACATCACCATCTTTAAAACCGAAATACCTATACCGTTCAGTAAGAAGGATTAAAACGTGATCATGAGCAATTTTTCAAAAACGAAACAAAAGGAAGCACATAATTAAACTTACGGTGATCACTTATGCGCAAATTACCCCGTTGATTATGTGCCACTGTAGCGAACGAAACACCTATAGCAATACAACAAATCGTAACCTATTTCCATTCAGCTATTTTTCGCTAAACTTTTCTCGGAAGGTTTAATCGTCGGATAAACGCTACCAGAGCGGGATAGCCTTTCAATGATGAGGGTAATTTCAGATTCATTATGCGATGTAAATCCAAAGCATAAATAATTCCAACAATGTCCCTAAGTCAACCGGGGAATAAAAGGTGCCCATCAGGCGGCACAACCATTGCCAAGTGGCAAAGTTACCGAGCGGACGCGAGTGCGAAGTCGAACGTACTTAATAACGAAGTTTGAGAAATTCCTCCTTGGAGCTAATTAGGATGAAGGGCATTTGTTGAAAATAATCCGTTTCGCGAAAACATAAGTGGTGACCGAAAGTTTCTTGAAAGGGTAAGCTTTTGGGCACATCGGAGGGAATTTTTCAAGCAAGTTGTTCGGATGTTAGGTTTTCCCAAGTGCATTACATTGTTATTACACGATAAGTTATTTTGGTGATATGAATATCGAAAATATTAATACAAATAGGTCCACAAAGAAGTAAAACACCCTTGTCAGTGTAAAGTTCAAAAACGCGCGGAAAAATTAAACGACAAGACGGATAAAACTACCGGTCATAATCTACGTAGACCAACTTGTGATACTTTCTTCCCCTCTCATATACTACAGTGGACTTTTCTGAAACCCCTACCACACCTCCCTATAGTATAGACTTTCATAATAATAAAAAAAAATCAAAATCGTTGATATATTGTATTCATAAATTTAAATCGACTTTTGCAGAATATACTATATTGAATATGAATAGATGAATATTTGTTCTTCCGGCTTGATTGTTGGCTTGCACGAAACTTACGCTCAGATCAATCCTATTTCTGGTTTGTACTGTTACTGTTTTGAGATAACATGAAAACTTAATACGATGGAGATTCAATATTGTAAAATATCCACTTATTAGTTTGTCGTACAAGAATGATCGCCATTAACAATAATTTACAATTTTGGAAATCAAATTCAAGCTATGTAGACTGAGACACTATCCCCCCTCGTAGACTAGCGTAGTGTTTTTGCTGCACGCTTACTCCTCCAAGAAACCCTACGTGGTTTAAAACTACAATTGATCGTCACTGACGTATTGTCACTGACAATTTAGATGATTTCCCTTGAAATTGATCTTTAGCTCGAGAGAGTGACGAAAACTGTTTTGTCATTATCGTAGTGTATGGTCGATATTTTGCAGCATGGCTCAGAATGAGATTAGGCTTGAGCTTGAATGACTCCACAGATCCAATTTGCTACTCTATGATTGACAAAGCCAGTAAAATTGCTCAATGAACCAAACGAATGTTCAGTACCGGAAAAACGAAGATAATATCGTGATTTTTTTCATCTCTTTGAAAAAGTTCAATAAGCTGAAACTTTTCAGAATTTGCATCATAATTTCTCAAATGTTGGTAGCTGGTTAATCAACTGTTCAATGTTTATCATGCAAATAAAAGGACGAGGAAACATTGATTTAATGAATAGAACAAATACAATAATTACCTCGGGGGTAGGTAAAATAAGCGTGTATAAACATTGTTATTTTCCTATGGATAAAATACAATAACTAGATACTAGAGGAAACTAGAGGAAGATTTGTAGGAATAAGGGATAGCTACAACAAATATTGTGAATAATAATTTTGTCTTTGTTAAATAATGCCTTGAAAACTAATTAAAAAAAAATACTACTAGCTGACGTTACGTGAAAAAATATATTGCTTTATTTTGGATTTGTCATTGTAAAGTCAACGTAATCGCAGTGCTTATTGTATGTGCCCATCATTTGGTTCAATGATCCAAATTTGGCATAATTTGTACGATGGTGGTTTGTAGCAAATATATTTTTATTTCTTAAATGTCTTAAAATGGAGCATATGTATAAAAGGACGACAATAGTTCTATTGAATCAATACGATTTTACGAATGAAATCACAGCAAATTCACGACGCTCTTTTAATGTTTGGTTATTTATGAGCATTAGGGTGTTTCATTTTGAAAAAAGTGATGAATTTTTGATAGGCCACCCTCCAGTTCGATTCATAGCCCCAAAATATGAACCTGTGCAAAAAATGGTAAAGATTGATGAAGGTTTAGAGGTCGCGCCAATGATTTGGATTTTGTATGGAGATTTTGGTGAATTAGTATGGGAAATTATTGATTTTCGTTTACATTGCTCTAACTTTGGTTGTAGTTGTCCAAACGTTGAAAAAAAAAAAAATATGTGGTTGTCATGACAATGATCAACAAGCCTGTTGTTGTTGCGATGAAATTGGCGTTGTTGCCTTGTACATATTCATCTGTCAATTTACCCTATTTTGCCATTTTTTTCACATTTTTATAATTCTTGATACGCTGCAAAACTGAGCGTAGCAACTGTAGGCTTTTTGTTTATTGCCATAGCAATAACATACTAAATTTTTTCGACATTTGGACAAGTAGAAGCAAAGTTATAGCGATATAAGCGATTTTTTAAATTCTTCCATAGTAATTCCCATACAAATTTCAAATCATTGGCGCGACCTCTAAACCTTCATCAATCTTTACCAATTTTTGCACAGGTTCATATTTTGGGGCTATGAATCGAACTGGAGGGTGGCCCATCAGAAATTCATCACTTTTTTCAGAATGAAGCACCCTAATGAGCATACATCGAGCAGTTTAAGATGGCAGAGGAAATACAGTCCAACCTAACTTGCGGAGTGCATATAATAGAAACTGCTTTTGAACAGACTCTATTCTTTTTTCGTGTGTGATCGAGAAAGGAGACCAAACTATGCTTTAACATTACATAAGCAATGTACAATGTTTTTTATAGTATACAAATCGTGAAAATGGTTTTTTTTTTCTTTGGTTTGTTTTTTCCGTCGATCTTGTTTTCCGTGCTGAGCACCAATGCTACCGACGTGCCAGGAAAACAGCTCCCACACCTGGACCCTACCTATCGACCCATCAACTCATGAACCGGGGACCAACGGCTTTACTTCCCATCCGAAGGAAGGCGTGATCAGAGATGTTATGCCTCAGAACATCCTGGCGGAGCCGACTGGTATTGAACCCAGGCCTGCTGGGGTGAGAGGTAATCACGCTTACCACTACACCACCGGCGCCGTTTCGTGAAAATTGTAGCAGAAACGTTTTAAGAAACCAAGCATGTTGTTATGAACAGACCCATTAATGTGTTATAAGGATCGGTGAAAGTTAGCATTGAGTCTAAGATAACGCGTAGATCCCTGACTCTATCACACTTTTCTACGTTCTGGTTTGCTAAAGTAAATTGTTATATCGGGTATCCCTAGCAACATTGCAAGTTTTATCGTGGTTTTATGCCATTCTACAAG